TTTCATAAACAACTTCTAAGATATACTAACTTAAATCAATACATTCTGTCCTTTATCATATTAAAATCAAAGAGTTCTTAAAAAAAAACTAATTGTGTATAAAGTCAAATTTTTTTTTACATGTCCATACAATACACAGAACAAATATAGCAGTGAAAATTAATCGAAATAAAAAAAAAAAGAAAAAGTTCTTATAAAACAAATAAATCAAAAATCTAATTAATTTTTCATTCCAAGCATATCACTTGCCATTAGACAAGCAAAAACTGTTAAAAGCATTTTTTGTTTTGTTTCAACAATATCCTCTGGTAGTGCATAAACACGTGCACCAATTTTTCGTGCCATTGAAATTGCATATAGAGCATTATCCATTTTAGCCTAATAAAATTAAATATATATATATCGATAAATTATTCAAAATCTCTTACGTCAGCTGTTCCAGATGTTTTAAGTAGATGATATTGAATAGAACCTGGTTTAATAGCATCAATTAAATCACAAATAAGCATAGAATCACTTAATGATTGGTCTTGGAAACTATTTAAAAATGTTTTTTTATTCGCATTTTTTAACTAAAAAGAAAAGATATTCGAGAGAAAAATTTTTTTTAGATAAAATTACTTTATCGTTTGCCCAATTAATAATATCTTTATCAGCGATAGGTGTATTAGATTTAGCCAATTTTTGAAGAATTGATAATGTATATGCTCGCATTATTTGCCAAACAAGACCAAGTGTTAAAGTTTTATTGCCTTCTAATATATTCGAACCGCCAATACCTGTGATTTTGAAATGAAGCGGTTCTTTAGCATAATCAACCGCAAAGTTACAATTATCTAAAACATTATTAATGAGGAAAAACAACAATTAATGAAATATATTTACTAAGTTTTTGAAAACGTTCTTTAATTGGACTGAAAGTTTTATATATTTTTGACCAATCGACGGTATTTGGACGGATTATATCATATAACTAAATAAAGAGATGAGAGTGATTTTTGTTTTTTTACTGATATAATTTACTTGAAGAATGATTAAACCATCACAAAGATCTGAATAAAGATAATTCACATGTGGTTCAAGACCAAGACTATTAATAAAATTTCTATAAGTCTTTTCTTCTCGAGTTTCTTCGATTACAAGATCTGGCTGAAGTACTTTTTCGGTTGGAAGATCTAACGATGGATATGTATTAAATAAATTAGCCACGAAACTAAAGAAAAATAATGAATTATTTTTGTTTTATGAAAAACAAAAAGTGCATACGCAAAATTAAGTCTTGGATTTCCTTTGACAACATCATCAGGTGTAATATGTGCTCTAGCTTTAATTTTATCCGACTCTTTTAACATAAGTTCAGCGCGTTGACGTAAATCATTTTCCTTAAATTACATACAAAAAGATAAATAGTTTTTAGTTTTCAAATCACTTACATTCAATGGATTAAGTGTTAATGCTGGTTTTGTATTCGCTGGTGCAATAACATTAAGTAAATAGGTATATGCTTCAGAACTCTAGAAAAAAATAATCTTTTTTAACATAAAGATATGGAAATCAAGATTTACTTTAATATCACCACTAAAATTTGATACTGCTTTGCCTTTGTACTGTGAGCGTTGAAGTTGATAATTAAACCAACGTAATAATAATTCTTCTGGTGATAGTTTTAATAAATCTTCAACTGTTTCACCATCTCGTAAGAGAAGAATAAGACCCGGAACATGTTTTAAATTAATTTCACTTGTTAATTGAATCTAATTGAGAGAACAAAAAACACGATTTTATTTTGATGACATAATACTATGTTCCTTACTCGAATTATTTGCCATAAAAGACCCATGATAATATGAGGTACAGCTTTCGAAATATTTTCTGGATGTATATTAACTACTTTACAACCAATACCACGAGCCGAATTAATCGCTAATAAAACAAAATAATCATCATAGAAATTAGAAAAAAAAAAAAAAATTATCTTTTACCAAGTTCCAAATTTTCACTTTGACGAAAAATATCTTGTTTTGAAAGATTTAAATTAATTGCACGTTCATCAATTGTTTTCGGGACAGCGATATTAATTAATTTACTAAATAGAAAATAAAGTTTTATTTCACTCATAATTCATACTTTATACATACCAAAGTAAAATACCATCTTGACAACGTTTATAAAGTCCTTGTGGATCTTGAGAATCAATTGGATTAGTACGTAAATTTAAATGAGCATCATCAGCAAGAAATCTTGATTGAAAAGATAAATGAATTACTTATCAAAATAAAAGAGTACATACTGATTCAACCAATTAGCTGTCCATACACGTTCTTCAACTAGAACACTATGATAAGGACCTTGTGCTTCTTGTTTTTGTTCAACATTAGATGCATTTGAATCAGTATTATCCGTTGTTTTCGTAATAAAACGATCAACACCACCAGCTGTTGGTTTAACCGTTTTATTCCATGTACTACCTGGATCTTTTTCAGCACGTAATTTTAAATAAAGCTAAATAAAAATTTTCGTTATGATTTAACAAAATCAATGAAAAAGTTTCTTACATCTTCAAATTCTTCTTTTGTTAATTTTCCATCTTTATTTTTATCATGTTCTTCAAGAATTTTAGGTAATTCAAATTTTTGTACTTTAATACCAAGTTGTTGAAGCATACCATGTACTTCAGAAAAGTCAATAACTCCCTTTGAAAAAAAACAAAACAATGTTATCGAAATAAAAATTTTTGAATTTTTACTTGTTGAAATGTTTGTTGAACTTCAGGTAATTGCCATTGTTCCGGTTGAATCCAACGACTTTCACGTATATTATTTTTAAGATCATTTGAACCATCATCACTTATGCTATTTAATCGGTTAGGATTTTGATTACGATAAGCGTTAAATGAGGCCATGTTAGTAAAATTTTATAAAAAAATAATAAAAGTAACCAGACAGACTATTTATCTAAAGTATACATCATGGTTAGTTTTTATATCAAAACTTAAGAATGAATCATCCACATTCTTCCTTATATGGTATGAAAAAAAAAATGAGTATGCGCTTTCTTTCTGAATCATCGAGTTGATGACTCAATATACAAAAAAACAAAATTAGAAATAGGATCATGATGCGACATATAAGAACGGCGGAGGTGGAGGTAGGAGAAAAAAACAAAATACGATTATTCTTGTTTGACTGTGCACAATAACTACTAAACCCTTCTTTAAATATGATTCTTTTCTTATCAAGAAAAAGATATATTTGTTGTTGAAAAGAAAAAGACCTCTTTTGTTTTTCTCCTTATGTCTGCTATTAAAACACAATGTGAATAATATTGAGAAAGAAAAAAAGTCCCGTAAATAGTACTATGAAAAATTTCGATAGTGTCTCTTTCACATATATTTATATGTATACTATGATATACATTCTTCTTCGTTGCTTTATAATAAATGAAGAAAAAAAAAACCGAAATCCAGCGAGAATATGTGAGTATGTATAATAAATTATATGATTAAAAAATAATAAAACCAGTGTGTATATATACATGCACTTTCAATTTCGTATCGATCGAAAAGCTTCTTTTAAAAATAATATAAAAATATAATCATAGGTCTTTCTTCTTATAGAATTAATTAGTTTCTTTTTTACTTGTTGTAAGTCGATGTGTACCCATTATTTGATCCCAAACAGAAAAAAATGATCCATAATTCCATTTACCATGTTGATGATGAAAATCATGTGCGATTGTACCTGGCATTAATTCTGGTAACCAATATTGTGTTGTAATATATGGAAGATTATATCCTGAATGTGCAATAACTGTTTGATACGTACGAATAGCTACCCATATACATACTGTAAATATATGTGTTTCCTTTATAAATATAGGCATAAACCAAGTAGCTAACTGAGTTTGAATACCTTCAAACGGATCGCTTAACACAGCAGTTACACCTGTGGGTTGTTTATAAACATGATGTTTTTTATGTATATGTTTATATAACCATGGTGTATGAAATAGATAATGTGTCCAAAAGAAAATTGTATCTTCGGAAAGAATAAATAGGGCAAGTTGAAAAAGAATCGTTGACCATGATGGTCGTATTCCTTGTATATCAATATGACCAAAGTAATTGAAAATAAAATATAGAGCAGGTGTAAGAAAAATTAATGATAATTGATGATAAATTGTTTCTTTAATCATTAAATGAACTATATCAGGTTGAAAACGTAATTTTTTCTTATGTTTTTGTATACGATATTGATCAATTATAGGAATGTCGAATAACTCAATAAATATTAAAAAACTATTAGAAAACCAAAAAACTATTTCATATGTTAAGATGATATAAACAGCAAATAACCATGCATCCGATTGAAAAAATGATGTTGTTGACAGAACAGTATTATTTATGACCATTGTTGATTTAACTTATTCGACTCCCTTGATGATAAATAAACCTTTTTCCTTACCTTTACATATATATATGTTTGTGTATGTGTATGATTCAGCAGAAGTAAAAAATGAGAGCAGATAAAAAACAGCGACAAAATAAAAAAAAATAAACACAATTATCAAATATTTATGAGAACAGAAAGAAGAAGAAAAAAATCGAGAACGAACTAGTTCTTTTTGAGAGCAAAAGAAATAGATAAGTGAGATAAACTATTTCATCAAATTAAAAAAGAATAGTCGAGTAGATTTAAATAGATAAGTTATCATTCCTATGTATGTTATGTTCGACAGATGTCTATTCAAGACGGATTGTTTTGAAATTTCGTTGTAAATTTAAGATAATTGATCAAGAACAAACATACATACTTCATCTAAAATGAATTTACTTATTACTTGTTCGAATAGCTAATGATGATTTATGGTTTAGCTCATAAAACACTGTTATATTCGTTGATAATCTACTTTATTATGTTAATACATTTATGTCTTTTCGATGTGAAGTAACTGTATTAACATGAAAATGTTATCAAGGTAATTGCACGTGTTCTATAGAGACACGTAAATCAACATGCTTTCTTGTTTATAATTTCTGAGTATAGGCGTCAGCTGATTATCGCCTAGTATCATCATGTGTTTGTTATATTTAAATAAATGTCAAAATATCATATGATATAAAAAACACACTGTCGATACTTGATATTTAAATCAATTATTATTTCGAATGTATGATTCGATGATATTGTTGATATTAAAAATAAGAATATTCCACCTAACTGAATACAAAAGATTAGGATGATGAGTTTTTCACAGGAACAAGTGTCTAATTCTCTTACATTTGGCCTCAATGGAAAAATATTCATAAAAAAATAAATTGTCTCATCATAAATTTCATGATCTACTGTTATATTTTCTCCTATCAAACTTCGCTATTCTTTCTTAATCAGATGTAGAAAGCAAAAAAAACTGAAATACATTTCTTCTTAATTAAATTAATAATATAATTTTCTAGAAATATCATCATCTTATTGTAAGAAATTATATGCTAATCTTTGCATATATTAGAAATTATAACACGATTGCAAAAAAAAAAAGAAAGACATAGTTCTCTTGACATGATCAACACTCTTGATAATTTCAATAAAGATAAATAGATAAGAAAAGAGTTTCTATTTATAAATGAAAACTGTGTTCAGTTTGTTTCGAATATTTTATCAATAAAAACGAAATGAATCTAAATACCATGTCTAACCATTTTTATAATATATTTTTGATTCGAAAACAGTTAAGCTCTGGTCATTTTGATATATTACATAATGGTAGTCTTTTTCAGGGTTGCCACATGCCATAGTCGAAAATCCAGAAAAATTTTTACGAATCATTTTCATTCCAGTAACTTCGGTTTCTCAACCAAAGTATCAAAAGCCATATTATAAATCTCCACAAGATGTATTTCAATGAAACAAAAAAATTTTCAAAATATAGTTGTAGGAAATAGCCAATATATCTAGTCATCGAAAAATTGGTATATTCCGGCTGATCAAAATATTGGTATACTCTGACTGATCAAAAGTTGGTATATTCTCACTGCTAAAAATATCAGTTTATTCTAACTGATCGTAAACTTGGAATATTCTGATTGATCAAAATATTGGCATATTTTCTTTGATCATGAGGTATGTTTAGATTTCTAAAAAGAGCAAATTTTTGTAATTTAAAAACTCCCAATTTTTCATCAACAACGGCAAGTAAAAATCACACTAGGAAGATGTCCACATAATCAAAACATCTCAAACACTTGAACATAAATTCACATATTTGATGTAAACTACCACGCACATACCATAAAGCCACACTGTATAAAGAGCCGCGAAAATATCAATATGACTAGTAACTTTCGAGCCAGTTTCATAAATACAATACATCATATTATATACATATGACACTGAGGTAGGGTAATAAAAAAAAGAAGATATGGATATTGTTGGGAAATTTGAGTTAGTTTGAGAACTATAATACATAATATTTCAGGTGTGGCAGGAAGAGGTAGGGTAGTAAATAAAAAGAAGATATGGGTATTGTTGGGAAATTTTAAGTCAGTTTGATGAGAATTATAATATATAATATTTCAGGTGTGTCAGGGAGAGGTACAGTAGTAAATAAAAAGAAGATATAGGTATTGTTGGAAGTTTTGAGTCAGTTTGAGAACTATAATACATACTATTATATGTAAGTCAGGGAGAGCTATGGTAGTAAATAAAAAGAAGATATAAGTATTGCTGGGAAATTTTGAGTGAGTATGATAAATGCAATACAACACATTTTATACATATGACAGAGCAGTAGGGTAGGACACAAAAAGGCAAATAAGGATATTACTAGATAATTTTGCAATTCAGTTTGCAAAATACAATACAACACATTTTATACATATGACAGAGAAGTAGGTTAGAACATAAAACGAAAATATGTAAAGTAAAAAAAAATTTCCTTGTAATTTCTATAATTTGTGTTTTGTGTGTGCTGTATTTGTCGGAACTCGAAAAAATTGATAAGTTTCTTGTGTAGTGGATGTTGTTGGTATGATGGATGGTTGATGGTATGAGTGGTTTGATATAGAATTTTTGAAAAATATGTTGTATCCAGTTGATGTATGAAGTCTTATGGGGCAATAGGCGGTGATGGGAAGTGTCAATATGTTCGGAAATTTGCCTTTCTCACAAATGTGAGCACTGCTGGGAAATTGGGAAGAAATGGCAATCCTGTTCTATTCTCAAACGAAATTTCATGACGTAGAAGTGTGTTCTGTTTTGATCTATTGTGTTGCATTATTTATTTAAAATACTAAAAGAAATAAGGATTTTTTCGCTTTCAAAATAAAAATATATGTTACAAACGACGGTCTGTTTATACCAGCACAATAATAATAAATGTGTAGAAATATAACAAAAACAAAAATCATCGGGTTAACAAAATACATGAACAAAAATAAGAAGAAGTAGAAGAAGAAGAATTTTAGTCCTAGTATTCCTTCTTTGCATGAAATTTCTAACGCATTCGAGATGTTGATGATGAAAGATTATTAGGTGATGGTTTCTTTTTATTAAGTGCAGCATCACGTACGTTTATTGTAGATTTTGCTTTAGATGAAGCTAAAAGTCGTGCCTAAAAATTAAATAAAAATCGAATTCTATAGATGATTTTTTCCTTCATTTAAAAACACAAACTTTTGCGTCGTCAGGTATAAATGGAATACTATGAATATCACCATTGGATTCTTGTCCTGTTTCGTTTTGCTTTATCATCATTAAAGCAATATCAATAGGTAATGCAAACCAAACCATATTTTTATATTTATCAGGTACATTTAATGGTGGATCAGATGTATAATCAATAGTTTCAATAGCATGTCGTACAGCTTCAACAGCAAGTAATTTAGCTTCACGAGCTGGATCCTAGAAAAAAAACATATTATCATCACAAATATTTTCTGTTGGAATTTACCGGAAGATTTTTTTCTCCTCGTGGAGGTGATGAGTCACTTCGTCGTGCATAATATTGCATTTTACCAGCTTTATATGTAATATCTTCAAGGCTCGATTGAGCTAATTGAAAACCACTCCTATGTTCCCATCCGCCTGATGTTGGATCATATGTATACTAGAAAAAAAAACAAATAAATATTTGAAATAATGTAGAAATAACAAACTAGAGGTAAAAATTTCCACCCATGAATAGAAATAAATTCTACAGCATCAATAATAAAATCAATTTCTTCGTCACTTGCAAAATAAGGTAAATTAAGTCGGGTAAAGCCAGGTCTAAAAATAAAGAAGATTTTTATGAAATACAAAAAAAATATATATGTATATTCTATTTACTTCATTAACATTGTTCGAACAATTTTATCATTTCCTCGTAAACTAAAATTATTCACACAAAAAAATATATATGCATATATATTTATAATTCAGCTTACCGAACATCTTCTGTCATAAACATAGCATAGATATCTGATTTAACATCATTTACATTTAATAAATCAAGTGCATATGGTCCTGCACAAGCACAACCTGATCTTACTTGTATACCGAATAAATCGTTAAATAAACGACAAACTAAATTATGATGTAAATATTTGCATACACCTGGAATATAGATACCAAATGAAAATATTGGTAAACGTGCTACTGTTTGAGAACCAAGAAGAATTAAGTTATCAAGTTTTTTACAACGACGAAAAAATCTTTTAACTAATTCATCTTCACGTGCTTGAATATAGGTCAGGTCAAGAGAATCTTTTAATTGAAAAACAAGACCAGCTCGTATACATCCAATTATATCCGGTGTACCACCTTCTTCGCGAATTTCAATACTATGATTATATTCAGTAGCTGTACGAGTTACATAATTAACTGTACCACCACCAGCTGATTTAGGTGCTTTCAAACTAAAGAGATTCTTCTTGGCTATTAAAACACCTATAGAAATAAAACGAAATTAGAATTATTCTATCATTAAAATTTATGATATTCTTACCTGGTGTACCTGGTCCACCAACAAATTTATGAGGTGATATAAATACAGCATCTTTATATGCTGTTGCAGATGGATTCATATCGATTTTAACATAAGGTGCTGCTGTTGCATAATCCCAAAAGATTAAACCGGAAAATGAGTGAACAAGTGTTGATACACTATCAACATCAGTATATATGCCCGTTATATTACTTGCAGCATTCAATGAACAGATAATACGTTTTTTTAATTTTGCATAATGTTGTAGTTTTTCCTTAAGAAATACTTTATCAAGTAAACCGTGTTGTGTTGTTGGTACACGAATTAACTTTAAAAATTAAATTTGTTATAGAATGAAGTTTAGGGTGTTTTTTTTTTAATTTCTTACTTCGACTCCTGTTTCCTTCCATGGTAATATATTACTATGATGTTCAAATGCACTAATGATAACAACTGTATTTTTCCTTGTAGTTTCATCATGAAGATCAAAACAAACAACAAGTGCATGAACAGCGCCTGTTGTGCCGGTGCCCGTGAATATTAAAACATCATTATCATTACCATTAACGGATTTTTTAATTATATTTCGTGCTTCTTCACGAAATTTTGTTGATTGTTGAGCACAAAGACTTGTTTCACTGTGTGTATTACCATATCTACAATAAAATTAATAAAAACAAAATAGATTTATAAATAAAAATTAACTTACAAAGGAAGGATATGACTTCGTAAATAACTTTCAATAAATTCAAGTGGTCGACCTGATGCTGTATAGTCACAATAGATCACTTGAAAAAGAAGAAAAAACAATTATATAGTTGAATAAAAGAATAATTTTAACGTACTACGACGAAATCCCCATGGCCCAAGAAAAACATGGTCTTTTCCAATAATGTTTTCATCGATATATTGAATAAGTCTTGAACGATTACCAGTAATATTAGTTTTATTTGGAATATTTTGATAAATATTATTAATAGCAGGAAAAACTACATTATTATTACGAGGTTTTTGATAAATATCTTTTGATTCTTGTTCATTTGGTTGTGAATCTGTTCGACCCATTGAATTTGATCGTTTCTTTTTTGATAATGATGATAATGTTTCAACGATATTTACTTTTGCTAATCGCCACTAAAGATTTATAGAGAAAAACAAATGATTAATGTACATCAATCGTATGCATTTTAAAAAAATAATTTCATTGCGAAAATATTTAAATAAAATAAATATATATGTTAAATGCGCCATTAGTCAAAAAAACAAATAAATATTTATATCTTACTTACTTTATATTCATCATCATCATCACTTGATGTATCAGGAGAATCGGATTCATAACAACTTGAACCACTGTGTTGACGTTGACGTCGTCGACGATTATCTGCTGATTGTTGTTTTCCTTGAATAAAATGAACTGTTTTAGGTGATTCAAATGATGCATTTAATGGAGGTGAAGATGGATTGCTACCAATGCTATTAGCAAGTGCATTTAATGAATGAATATCAAGTCGTGTACGAGATAATGTATGTGAAATAGGACGAAATGGTTCGGTATTTGTGAGTATAGGACTACCACTATGCCAAATGTCAGTTGGTGAAACTTGCATCATATTCACTGGACTTGAACGTGGCATTTGCTGTTGAATTTGTTGTTGAACATGTTGTTGAAGTTGCTGTTGAAGTTGTTGATGTTGAACAGGTGTTGGAATTTGAGTTGCAGTTTGTGGTACTAATTGATCAGGTCTATATAGTTGTTGTTGTGGTGATTGTGATTGTTGTTGTTGTTTTTGTGGTTCATATGTAAGAGATGGATTAGAATAGCCATTTTGAATTGGACGTAATTGAAATTGATTATATTGATGGAATAATATATTAGCTTCTTGTTGTTGTTGTTGCTGTCGAGCGTATATTGCCTGATGTATATGTGAATGTTGTGGATGTTGTTGTTGATGCTGATGCATCGAAAACATCTGGTTGATAAAAAAAACAGCCGATAGCTCAATTTCAAACAAAAATACGAAATTCCTACCTGGGCTGGGGTATACGAGTACATATTTATTGCAGGAGTCGACAATTTGCTAAACTATAACAAATATGTTATGTTTTTTGTAACAATATATTTTTTTCGTGATTTTTATACGGGCATGAAAGAAAAAATCCGAATTATTAAGAGAAAAAACACGAATAAGATAAAGGAGAACGTAAAACCTTGATTATTCTGTCTTCTCCCCCTTCTAATTACCCAGTACGCAGACCAACGAAAAAAAAGGAAAAGGTAGGCGTAGCTGAAAATGATACAATTGTCGTCTTCTTTTCTGTATTTTTCTTTTTTCTTTTTGGTAAAAACATATTCATAGGATATATCAATGAGCAAGTGAATGACGCGATAAATGATCGAAATGCAATTCATAATAAAGGACAAAAAAGTGTACATATTTTTCTAATCACAAGCCGGGGAATAGGTATGGATTATGACTCAAGGAATTCAAACGGTTTATGTATAAAATATGTGGACGTGTATATAGATTCGTAAATACTTACACATACCGCACGCGTACAGCTGTTTCAATAGGACTGCAACTTGTATTCTCAATAGAGAGACGCAATTCAAGAGGTTATATAAAGAGAAACCTTAATTATATAAAAAAAACCTATTCGTTCTCTCTTCTCTACCTCTCACATAACGAGTCAGCTAAAATGTGTCATAATGATGTTTGAGATATTCATCAATATTAGTTCACAGTAAAAAATGATAAGCAAAAATGTTTTTCCAAACTATGCATCTGTTATTTGTCGAAAACAAGTGCAAAGAACAGAAAAATGTCATCAACATATATAAAACTAATTCGAAGTAATTTACATCAGATTGTGCAATTTCATAAAGTTGGATCGGTTATTTTATATTCAGGCATGTCGTTTGATAATTAAATAGAAAGAATGTATCTGCCTACATTTTTCTCTTCTTATTAATAATATTTAGAGTGATGTTTTTGCCGTCACACAATTTCATGTTTACATGCTTATTTATCTTTATATCCAAAAAATATGAAGTGAATCAAAAGCCATCGAAGCTTTTCAAACAGAAAAAAAAATTGATATGTCATGATTAATAAATTCATAATAAGATTGCATAACAACTACAAAACTGGTGACTCTAATATGAAGATAGTACATTGACATATTTCAAACAACAACAACTATTACAAATATGTATATATGAAATGTAATATATTTCTATGCATAATGTCAAAACAACATTCAAATATTTTTTTTGGTTTAATTTTATCTTTATATTGATTTATGACATTGCTGCTTTTTCTTCCAGATATAGATCAGTTGAAATATAAGATTAATGTATGTCAATAGGATTTTTATCAAACCAAAATGACACGGTAGACATACACATTCTAATATCAGAACGTTCGGTTATCAGCACATATTTCAAATATTTTTCTCTATTTTGTATTATCCTCGAATATAATAACTCGAGGAGAGTAAAAACAACATCGTTATAAATTACATTAGTGCTCATACTCCCTCTGTCGTTTTTTATTTTTCGTATTCGTGTTCCGCTCGATGTATTCGCTGACGTTACACGTATATGAAAAATACGGCTCTATGTGGTTTGTTTCTTTTGGGGGCCTCTGTATGTTAATGATATCAATATTTGAGCCCGATATGAAAATGTGTTTTAGAAAAAAAAACTTTTTTCGAATAAAATAAATACACAAGCATATAATATATATATATCCTTTTTTTTGCAAGAAAAATTAAAAGTTATGAATATCCATATGATTTAGCCAGTTGAATATCTTGTTGAAGTTGATATCGTTTTAATGAACGACGTTCACGACGACGTCGTTGTTTTGTTTCAAGACGAATTCGTCGTTTTTCTTCTAATGATTGTTCATATTTTTGACGAAGCCATCTAGGAAAAAAAAACAATCATACAGTAGAAAAAAAATCCCAACGTAAAAAATATTTTATAAAAACTCCGACTAATGTATGATTCATCGTTATGACTGTGAATGCGAGATACTTGACATAACTCATAATACAATAGAAAAAGCGCATGACTGGGTGTATGATCAACTTTTTGAAAAAAGCTAGTCTATTCAGTATGACAGGATAAACCAACAACAAATATTAAGTCACAACGCAGCTGTCATGTGATTAGGCTTCTTTTTTTTATGTTGTTAAAATGATGTATTAAGCATACATTACCTTCGAAACGCTCGATGATCATCATTTTTATTGCCATTATTTATTGATGATGATGATCCTCGATTTGCTATTTCATCTTCATTTGCCATTAATTTTTTAAATTCATTTGCCAATATGACTTCATGATTTTTACGATTAACCCATTCTTTAAATTTTTTTTCACGTAATTCATTTAATTCTTTATCTTGTTCAATTTGACGAGTCTAATCAAGCAAAGAATTAAGTCAATAAAAATAAATAAAATTCTACTTCTTCTTCTTCTTTTTCTAATCGTTTTTCTGTATTAATTCGTTTACGTTCAGAATTTTTATCTTCTAACCATCGTTCATAAGATTCTTTAGCTTTAGCTAATTCTTTTTTTCTTTTTTCTTCATCCTAGAAAAAAAACACATAATTAATTTGTATTTAATAAGAAAATATTATTACTTCTTCGTTTTTACGACGTTCTTCACGTAATTCTGCTCGTTTTTTTTCAGCACCTTTTCGTAAAAGCTCATCAAAATCAACACCAGAAGACGATCTTTTAGTAAAAATAAATAAAAAAAATAATATGAAATCAAAATAACCAACTAACTTTTCTGTTGATTTCAAAGCACCTGCACTATAAATATCAAACAAGATTGGATATGAAAATATATTTTTTTATTATGTGATACCTTTTTGGTCGTTGTCGGATTGTTGGTTCGGTATTATTTTTCTTATCAGTAGAAGCTCGGTTTGAATTATTATTAGTTCTTTTTATATTATCAGATGATTTAGGTCGGATTGAAAAAGGACGAGAAGGTTTATCTTGTTTTTGTTTCGGTTCAGTAGGTGGTGTAGGTAAAAATAAAATTTTATTATTGTTTTTAGAATGAGATTTTTTCGCTGTATAATCATCTTCATCTTGTAAAGCAAATTGTCCATTAACAGAAACAACCATTGATTTTCTTGTTGATATTGGATCTGTAATATCTTCGATTTCATTATTAGTTTCTATTGTTTTCTTTGATGATGCAGATTTATCATCTAATTAACAACAAATAGTAACATTATATATAAATTAGAATATTTATAGTTTAGAACAAATCAATTTAAGTCATTATCTAATGTTTTAACGGGGAACGACCTTCATCTGTAGTGAATAACAAATCAAATACATATAAATATATATATTTATTTCTATTATTTCCAATATAATGTATAAATTATCGTTTCGAGAGAGAAAACAAAAAAACGTACCTTCACGATTTTCTAAATTATCATTGCTTGCAGCTGTTGCCCATCGTTCATCAGTTGAAGATGGATTATTGAATTGTAATGCTTTTATTTGTTCAAGTAAGGTTGGACCTTCTTTAGGTAGTGTATCATTAAGTGGTATAGTATATTCTTGTGCTTTATCTTCGTTTCGTGAATTAGTAAGATCTGATGATGATGATGATCCTTGAATAGCAGATTCAACTGATGATTTATCAGTAGGATCTTGTTCGATATTAACTGCTTTAACAATAGCATCGAATGAAACACGCTGATGATGATTTAATTCAATGGGCGTTTGATCTTGTTGAAATTCTTGATTCGCTTTTTTCAAACGTTCTTGAATAGAAATAAAATAATCAAAATCAGCACCTTCATCATATGGAATATCATCTGAAATAAGAAAAACAAAATATCAATATACTTTTGATTAGAGAAGAATTCTAATACTTACAATCATCCATATCATTTTGATCTTGACCAAATATTTCAAATGGATGCGACATACGATCAAGTTGTGATAGATCTTCTGCTGAATTTGATAATGTACTTTGTTCAAGTAATTCAAGATTAGCATATTGTCGTTTTAAACTAAGTATATCCATATCTAAAATCAATAATAGATTTTCTTAAACAAAAGAATAGTACACATTACTTACCATCTAGCGAATGACCTATTCGTGATACAGATGGATTTGAATTATTAGTAAAAAATCCATGATTCTGTGATGAAAATGCTGAACTATCCGAGTTAATAGATGATGATGGTAATGATCTATCATATGATGAAAATGTGCTTGCAGCTGCTGTAGCCATAATTGTTAATATTTTATATTATATTTTCATATCTACATAGTTATAAGGAAAAACTAATAAATGTTTAATAGAAAAAAAAAGAAAAGTTTTATAAACAATTATTCATCAGAAAAATAGGTTATAGAATAGAACAATAAAAAAAAAGTTTTATACTTCCCCAAATAGCATATGAATTTAATTTTTTTTTGCTGCTTCTTAAGGTTCATAACAACAATTTGATACATATTGAAACTATGATTATTTTTTTTTCAAAATATTTATCGTTATCAAATATTATTATATTAAAAAATATCTTCTAGAATTAAAACAAACTTAAGAAAAATCGTTTGAAAGATGTCACTTTCACTGTTGCTTAGTAAACCTTCGGAATTGTTTCAAAAGAATGGTCTGTTCTTTAAAAAAATATTAAATAAACAGACGAAGAATCGATTTAATGCAAAAATAATAATCTTTTCTTATATATATATATATGTAAATACTTTAGATTGTATAGTAAAAAAAAATAAATGTCAGATGAAAGCTAGAAGATTTCCGTTATGACACTTTAAGAAAATTGATTTATATAAAAATAACATCATACAAGTAGTATATTTAACTTGTCAATTCAATCCGAGTAAAACTGAAAGGGAGTGGCCGAAAATCATGAATTCTTACTCACCCTAGAAATATCATAATACGAAAGTCCTTGTCACCTAGATCACGAATCTGACATCCGTTTGTCTAGATCTGATCCCTTTCTTGCCGTAGGGAAGTACCTGACTCTAGTATTGGGTAGTTCGATGGGATGTCAAACACAAAGTAGTCAGAAAATTTTCTGAAAACTATGTATTTGTGTTTGAAATCTCACGGAATTACCCTCCTGAGACTCAGGTACCTCCCTACGGCAAGAAAGGGATCAGATCTAGACAAAGGGATGTTAGATTCGTGATCTGAGTGGCAAGGACTTTCGTATTATGACATTTCTAGAGTAAGTAAAAATTCATGATTTTTCGACCACCCCCTTTCGAAGTTGTTCACATATTTTCGAAATCGGAATTTATAAGAAATTCTACAATTGTTTCAATGACAAATTTGAGGTTGAATTTATTTGCCTAGAAGTATAAATATATTCATGTTATGACTAAATCTAAAGATCTTCACTGAAAAATTCATTCAATATTCTATTAGCTATCAATGCAATTAATAACGAACGTTATGTCTTCATGATTCTATCAATGATTGAGCTTAGATAGGTCTTTCTAACCTGTTATTTATAAAAGAAATTGTCATTAAAATTACTAAAAATACTTTTTAACAATCCTCATCCACTTACGAGAGAAACCAGTCAGAATATTACTAATCCTAAATCAATTTTATTCATGCAATATCATTTGTAAATAGTAATATTAGTAAAAATTATCGGAATAAAAATGTAAATCTATTAACCAGTAAACGACATTCAACGACTTACATTTACAAACTAAATATGTGTCGAAAATGAAATAATGAATAATAATGGAAAGAATATAAAATTAAATTAATTATGACTGACATTTTCTGTCATAATTTATTGATGCAAAGTAATAAAATCTCGGTGCATGATCTGTCATTTTATTCAAGTTAGTCTATACTATATAATTAATAAAACTGTAAAAATGTTATTCTTATTTAGGTCTAATGTCACATCATCCTATCTAGTTCTGTTTTATTGAACTTTGGATCAGAGGAAGAATCTTTTTGATTTCTTATGATCTTGAATATGTTTAAAGTATTTCCCGTGTGACAAATTCTTTTTTGTCTTCTATTTATTTATTGATTCACTTTTTTTTAATAATATTATTTGAATAGCTGAAATAATTCTTAACTGAAAGAAGATATTTTGTCCTTAGAAAATAACGTAAAAATTTCTTATTCTTTTTTTATTTTTATAATGCCATGTATGTCTGAGTGTTTGGATGATTTATTAAATATTTTTCTATACAAAAAATAATTTTTTTTATATATGAGATAAAGTACAATTATCAAGGGAATGAGAACATATTATAATTAAGTATTTTCAATAGCTATTTGATACTAGTTCAATAGTGCAGAAAAAAATACATGAGTTTTATTCAAGTTATACATATTCATTTCCTATACTTTATATTTGTTTAATGAACGCTTAAAATCATGTTTATCGATGAATGAGATAGAATAGAGAAGATAAAGAAATCAGGATCTATATTAATGATTGATTCGCATGAATGAATTAGAATAATAATAACAAAAAAAAACATGCTTGCTGTATAAATTAAGATTGTTTCTTATTATAAATCATCATTCTTCTTAAACTATTGAATTTAAATTAACTATCTATTCATAGAATTATAAAAATAAAAATTTTGTATTCTAGATTACAATCCTCTTAACTCAATAGTATTTGACTGAAATATTGTATTTTTATTATCTAGATCATTTACATATATTGATAGAATACATAAAATAGATGTAAGTGATCATAAAAAATATTGAATTTATTTGTCACATAAATGTTGTTGTTGTTGTTGTTTTGTGTTTTGAAATCAATATAATTCTTCTTTCTATTAGAATTAATTGAACAAAGAAGAATGACTGTTGAATGTGGACTATGATCTTAACAATAATAAGTATGTGCACGGAAATTTTACTGCTGCTCTTTCTTCCGTTATTATAGTTTGAAGAAAGAAGTTAGAGAGAAGATCTTCAGATTACGATGTATATGAACGTGGTTCTTTACAATGTTGTATTATTTACGTGGAAGCATGGAGGACGATAAAAGAAGAAGAAGAGGAGAACCAGAGACAGAGAGTTCATTTTTATCTTGATGGAATAGCCTTGAGTTCTTTTCCTTTTTCTCTCTTGCTTATGGTAAATATTGAGGAGAGAAAAAAAATCGATGATAATAACGGCTACTACGGTTGTGTTTTCCATAGATATAAATATATAGACAAGAAAAGGAACCGCAAAAAGAGAGAGAGTGTGTGTGTGTGTGAGTTAGAGCAGTAACGATAAATAAAAAAAAATGCTCACACATATTCGCTATAGTCTGGTAAAGAATAACATCAAGTAAAGCTTGTGTAGTAGTAAGAGGAAGAAAAAAAGAAAAAGAGAAAAAATAGGGGAAATAAGCAACAAAATAGAATAGTGAGGTGACATCGACGAATCTACTACTACTACGTCTACATCACGAATAGATGTGAACAAAAGCCGCTCATATTATACATCGATCAGACACAGATATAATTTTTTCTCTTCTCCTTCTTCTCATTCTTCGAACAATTATATATAACAAATAACGAAAAACTATGACAAATATAAATTCAACATCTGATATTAAATGTATAATTCTTCAACAAACATTTACTGGAAAACGAGAACTTAAAGTAACAACAACACCAAAACCATCAGCACCTGCTGATGGTGAAGTATTAATTGCTGTTAAAGCTTGGTAATATTCTTATTAAAAATTTAACAATACATATTTTCTTTTTCTTCTTCTTCTAGTGGAATTAATTTTAATGATGTTCTTGGTCGATATGGTTTATTAGAAGATATGCCACGACCTCCATTTATTCCAGGCTTTGAATGCAGTGGTGAAGTACTTGATATTGGAACTAATGTTACTCATGTTGATGTAAGATAAGATACAAAAGAAGACAATCTAATTTTTTCTAAAAAAAACAAAAAAATTTTCTAGAGAGGTGATCGTGTTGTAGTACTTACACGTTATTCCGCTTGGGCAGAACAAATTATTGTTAAAAAAGATTTAGTTTTTAAAATTCCTAAAGAAATGTCATTTCGGGAAGCAGCTGTACTTCCTGTTGCTTATCTTACTGCATATATCCTTCTATTTGAAATTGGTAATATTAAACCAGGTCAAACAATATTATTTCATTCAGCCGGCGGCGGTGTTGGTGGTAAGCAAAATTATTATATAAATATGTTTATTACAAAAAAAAGAAGAATTTTTTTCTATTCTATAGTTGCATTAACACAACTTTTAAAGCTTGTTCCTAATTTAACCATTATTGCTACTGCAAGTTCACATAAATTTGATGCATTACGTGCTCATATACATTATCTTTTTGAACATGATATCGATTATATTGGAGATGTTAAAAAGTATATTTATTAATTATTATTAGTATTTATAAAACATCTGTTTAAAATTTTTAGAATTGCACCAGAAGGTGTTGATTTAGTACTTGATTGTATGGCAGGTGATGATTGTGAACGTGGTCTTGCTTTACTTAAATTTAATGGAAAATATATAATGTATGGTACATCAAGTTTACTTAGTTGGGATGTAAAAAACCTCTTTGGTATTACAAAAGGCATGTCTAATGTATGTCAAATAATATATTCTATTAATGAAAAAAAAAAAAATTTACACTTTCTTCTTTTTTTTTATATTTGTCACATTTCATAGTGGTGGCAAAATGATAAAATTAGTTGCTTACGTCTATTTCAAGATAGCAAATCTATACATGGTTTTAATTTACTTCAATTGCTTTCACGAGGTTCAAATGAAACACGTCGTTATTTAGCTGATATAGTGCATAAAGTATTTATATTATATAAAGAAGGAAAAATAAAACCAGTCGTGGATTCTGTATTTACATTTGAAGAAGTAAAATATATACATATACATTTTTATTTAATATTTATATTCTTATCATGTACAGGTGAATAATGCACTTGGTAAATTAATTGATCGTAAAAATATTGGTAAAGTAGTAATCGAACCATTTTTAAATGTCAAATCCGAAAAAGTGAAAAAAGTAAATCGAATATATATAGATTTTTATTTTATGAAATATTTCTTTTTGAATTTTAGCCAAAAACAAGTACTTCTAATGATGCTCATTCAAGTTCTACATCAGGTCCTGATGATGATGATAACGAGGAGAAAGAGTCGGATGATGTTCAACAAAATACAACATCAAAATCTTAAGAATATATCGTTTTTTTTTTCTCATAATTAATTATTTATGATATCTATGTTTATATTTCGTCTACAACTATCTTTCTGCATTCTTAACAAAATATCTCTAGTGTTTTGTTACCCACCCACTACCTTACATATAAACCTCTTGTTTTGTTTGACGTCATTTAATCTTGAATAATATATTTTTGATGGTGAAAGACCTAACAAAACTATATTTGAGTGATCATATTTATGTGAAGAGAAAAAAAAGATGGTTTGTTTTGTTTTTTTTTGTTCTATATTACTTTAATTAGTTTTCTTTTCTTCGATGATTATATGACAATAAAGAAATAAATGTATGAATAAAAGCATATCATCAAAAAAAACAAAAAGAATGAATTAAATATATACACGAATAGAACTCATGGAAAAGAAAAACACTTATGAATTATAAATAACTATTGTACGATTTTTCATTCAATGAAGTAATTTCCATATTGTCATCATCTGATAATGATGAAGAAATACTTAATAATACAGAAAGTGAAATTTATTCGAATTATAAAAACATTTATTAAATGTAAAGAAAATAACTAAAGTGTAGAAAAAGAGTTTTCTTGCATGTGTTACTTTGAAATATTTTCTTGTTGTTCATTTCGGAAATAATTCCAAGATAAATTACTATAATTATATCCTGATTCTACAAATGTCATCTGTTTTAGCACTTGTAAGATTTTATATATTTTGAATGACTTCACCGAAAGCAATTGTACCTAGAAATTAATAATTAATTGAATAAATATTGAAACAAAATAGTTTTGTCTATTTATGAATAATTGTAAAGCCTTAATCAACCAGTATTTTAAAGTTTGATATAAACTTGCATGACTTGCATATAGAGTTTTATATTATCTATACAACAACAAAAGTAATTGAATTCTGAAATCATTAATCAAATAATGTCAATTTTTTCTAATTACAAGATGTTATTAAATAAAGAAAAGATGAACAATATTTAAACACTATTCTATTAGAAGTCGTTGAGTAAACTATTTTGCTTCTTCAAGGAAGAAAATATGCGTGTCAGTTAGTATTTTCATCCTCGATGCCGTTGTTTTATATTCAAAGTGAAACAAATTGATTAACTGCATATTATTGTTAATCTCGTATATATATATAACTAAGAGAAATTGTCGAATTATTCACAAGATTTGTTAATATGAAAATCAACTCTTATAAGAATTAGTGAAGACTTTAATGATAATTTCTACTGAAAAATACTATAATCGAAAACATTTTTATATAATTATACATTAGAAGATCGAAGCGTTAACCGTTCGCCATTCAATTATCAATTCTTCAATGATTTTACCTTTACTGATAAATATTACTTATCAAAGAATAAAATTTTCGAGCGGAAATGAACAACATATATGCAAAAGAATCTTTCATAATATTAATTAAGAAGGAGGAGGGGATAATTTCTATATTAAACAAACTTTAAAAAACAAATCGTCAATCTATATTTGGTTTTAGAAGAAAAAAACCTAAATCAGTAGCAAATGCTTAACCCTTTGAGTCCTGGCGGGATATATATGTCCCACCTAGCGAAAAATTCTAGTTTTCAAAAAATTTCGAATATATTTAACAAATGTTCGTAGTTAAGACATTTGTGCGAGATTAACAACCCTACTGAGTCAGCTTTTAGGCTCCCGTTCGTACACCTCCAAGAAGGTGGCTAAAATATTTCTCATCATTCCCGTAGGGAGGTACGGCTAAAAGTTAAAAATGACTTAAAATATTTTTTTTAAAGTATCAATGGAAGTATCGATAATACTCAATGCTCATACAAAATATAGAGGTTTCGTTCATAGATTAAATCGTTGGTCTCAAATGGTTAATTTCATATCGGCTAGTTCAATTCGAACGAAAGATCGCTTGCATTCCTATTCGTTTAAATATTAACTAATTAAATATAAATGAATGATACTATACAGATGTCATTATGGTTCGATATGTTTTTTAAGTATATATTAGTCATAAACGACAGGTATATTATCAATTTACGATCAATTGACATGACAATTTTGCAGTGTGACAGCAATCGTGGAAATTATAGATATGCATGTCGGTATAAAATGAATAAACAAACGTTCGAATACACGTTTGAAGAGAAAATTAAAGTAAATAACAACTACAAAATATAATCACTTCGAAGGAGGAAGGTAAAGTATTGACTCATTAGTAGTATGTCGTCTGTTTTTTGTGTATATATTATGAGTTTCCTATAACTGAATCGAAAAAAAGGTTATATTCGAAATATAATTTTGATAGATTCACAATCGATCTATTTTTATTACTTTTGACAAGTAATTTGGTATGGATTCGAGAACAGTAGCTCAACTAACGCATATTTTAAGTGAAGAAGCTCAAATGATATCGGACGAACTTAGACATAATGGTCATAATGTTTATCCCGATATGTTAGCTGCAAAACTAGATGGACTTGTAACACGAATGAAATATGAAATGCGTAATAAGGTTTCTATATATTCATTCATAGAGAAATTTATATTTTCATTCATCTACTTTTTTGTTTTTCAAGAGTCTTGATACATCAACATATGAATTTCCTATTTTTAATCTATCACATGGTGCAACAAGTTATCCTGATCCAATCGATAGTATATATGATAAACATGTTAATAAAGCTTATTATCCTGAAAATAAAAAAAATCACCGAAAATCATCAACTACAGAGCAAAAACCTAAATCAATAGCGAAAACACGTTCAAATTCATCATCATATTCAACGAATTTACAACCAGTACGAGATGTCGATGAAGAAGAAGAAGAGGCAATTACTGATCAATATTCAAAAATATCACATAAATCTCGTCGTGATGC